CCCCCCCTCCCCCAGGGAACAGAATAGTATTCTTATTAGGAGTTGCTAAAGACCGAACAATTCCAGCATGCAAAGTGTGATATGACATGGTTGGGAAGTTGAGAAACTGTAGCCATCATCTAGGGGTGATACATTCTAAAAGAAACAGATGAACAAACACGTGTCAGTAACTTTGTCCCCGTCCCATAGCCTTTGCCCCTCCCCTCTCTGGCTACAGAAGCTATTTCTTGGAGATGCCCTAGGCTAGGTCAAAGGCTGTGTGTTCTCATGAGAAACAGCTGCTCCGTCCCTGCATGCAGAGCGCACAAGCAGAGCTGGAATGGGTTCCCTGGCATGCGTGTGCGTGTGGACATGTGCGTGTACACGGGCGCGATGAGGAAGCAATGGCAGCTTGAGATGGACAGCAATGACATGTATCAGCTGATGTAAAGTGCTAGCAACCAAAGGCCCAGGGCTTCCAGATGATTCTTAACAATGACCTGCCCCCAGGTGCCATGGCTTACAAGAACCAGGAGGCACTGCATATTTTAATGAGGGGAGGGTATTCTGAAAGAGGTCTGAATTTCAAAACAGGACCAACCACTGGGAGGACAAAGTTTAGTAGTTTTAAAAACCAAGTAGTTGATTCAATCAGAGAACTGGGGGGGGGGGTGAGCCATGTAGGGAAATATCAGTTCTCAAAATTGTTTTAAATGATCGTCTAGAACTGAAAGCTGTAACTTTTCCCCCAGCTGGATCGAGTTACATTTTAGGCCCGGCCAAGAAAAAAGAAATCATGTTTTGCACTTTACTTGTTAAGAAATGGTTGATGTGCTGTTTACAAATGCATATAGCAAGATGGCTGATGGCCCTTAAATGATTCTTCCCTCCCTGGGTCTGTGTCGTCAAGTTTCCCAGTATGAGCTTCGTGTGTGTCTTGTTTGTTAAGAAACTTTTCTGTTTTTGGATGTGCCTACCCATCGCTGTTGCTCCTTGCAGCCTGCGGGTCCTCTTCGCCGCCCCTTTTAAAGAGAGATTGAAAGCTCACCTAATCTGCAAGGCACCACAAACCCCACACAGCCTCTCCACACTCGAGAAGCAACCAGCCAAGAGCAAATGCAACACTTCGCGCGCCATCCTCCCGTTAATGCTTAGGTCGGCTCGCTGGCTAAGTCAGAATGTCTACAGAGACTGCGGGGCCGTAGGGGAAGAATTCTGCACCTCTGCTGCTGTATTAACGGAGTCCTCTGGAGACTCTGGTCGGATACGGGAGGGACGGATAATTATTTTCTTGTGCTTTCACTAAATGTACATGCATTAGGGAGGTAAAGCAGTGATTTATCTCACAATTCTTTGGAGAATATGGCTGCGCAAGAGGCTCCAAATTCTCCCAGGTCAGAATCTTCACAATGCTGTACCAAGCAAAGGCCTAGATGGGAGCCTTTTTGTCCCGACTTCCTGGTGTAAAGTTAATGGCGTCCCTTCTTTCTTTGGGGGAAACCTACCTATACATTGTTTTTACTAATAACTTGTCCTCATAAAAATGTCACTTAGAACAATGTCTGGGAGGAAAAAAAAAAATCCAAACACCCAAATCTGATCTTCCGAGTCAGCCGTTACCTGCTCCTCCTTTGGAAGGTGGAAGGGCAGGGTAGTTTAGTTGATTAGATCAATCAAGGCTGAGGCCGTCTCTCCCTGCCCCTCGAATTAAATTGTGAGGAAGAGTTAGATCTGAGTTAAGACAAAAAAAAATCTCATATTCGACCTCTGTTGTTTCTGAAGGTCAAATGAATAGGATGGTACTCTTAAAACATGTACCAGTGGTGGCAGCCTATGGACAGTTAAGGCAAATTTAATTAGCTCAATTAAAAATTAAGAAAATGCATTGCTGGCGGGCAAGATGGTGGGGGGCCAGAGCTGGGGCAGCCATCTTTTAGAGGGTCACTATTCCACCGGACTTCCTCTCGGGAGGGAACAGCATTTGTTGTAATAAATACTACAGTGAGAGGGAGGCAGCTGAGCTATGCTAGGTAAAAATAAGGTACCTAGACCCCTCCCTTCCTCTGTATGGCATTTTTGCAGGCTAAATGTAATATCCTTAGAGGTGCGAGGAGGCAAACTGGAAATGGACCTTACTCTTTTCAAAGAGAAAATGAGAAAAGAGAAGTTCTGGTTTAGAACCCTCAGAGGCTCGTTTAGGAGAACCCTTTCTTTGAGATCTGAGGGTAAGCTGGAGGTCAAAGCTTAAAGGTGCATTACTTTCAAGGATGGCTTTGCCTCCCTCTGACTCCAGCTGTGGGAAACACTGGCTGCTGCATCTTTTAAACATGCTAGCCATGTCCAACTTTAACCAAAATATTTATCTAGAGGGTGCATGGTCAAATTATTTTTGCTTGACTAGCCTCATGAAGAAGCACCCCCACAATGTTGGGGAGAAAATTTATGCTACATTTTCTGGTTCTTTTTGCTTAATGAGAGGATGACCATGACCGCTGGCAAGGGGATATCAGAACAGGTGAAGGTGACTTCCTTAATTGAACATGGCGCCTAGTGATAACTTATAAGTCATTCATAAAATGGATGAGCTAACTAGCCCGGGCCTCCTGCATACTAATTAATATTTGTGAATTAGAGATAAAAATATTTTAAAAATTCAACTAAACTGACCATTTGTGTGGATGATGTAATCTTTTTCAACCCCACCCCCCAATTCTTGGATCTAACAAATTCTAGAATTTTCCATGAACTGCTGCCATGACTCCATTTACCCTTTCTGCACTGAAAGGAATGGGCCAAGGGGCAACCTTCCTTCTGAATGGGCTTGTTGCTGCTGACTGGGTGGTGGTGGGTGGGGGCTGCCCTCTAAGGTTAGCTTTGGAGAATGACGGATGGGGAACGGGGGAGGCAAATCCCCCAATTTACTAATGACATTCCCTTTGCATTCTTCACGGAAAGCGGGACCCCTACTCATCTTACATCTGTAAGGCACACTCGTGCTCTCTCGCTGTGTCTGCGGTGCTGCCACACTGTCCGGTGCCACGAGGCGTAGAAGGACATTTCAAAGGCAAAAAAGCCCCTTGAACTAGCCAGGAGCCTCTTAACCCAGTCTTTCCCTTATTTCAGCTCCTCCCTTTCACTTCTTTAGGCAGGAGCAAGGGAAACAATTATGCATAATGTTAATTCAAAAGGGGGCTCCCCAAAATCAAAGAAAAACTGTGCACGAGGCCTGCCATCAGTAGGCGAGGGCCAGCCTGTACCCTTCCCCTGCGCTTCCCGCTGGCCAGCCCGCCCGCCCGCGCGGCCACGGTCAGCCCCGGCCCCACCAGGGGTGGCCAAGGCCGAGTCAGCCATGTTGGAATCTCACTGCAGCAGAAAGCTCGAGTCTGCCGCAGAGGACCTGGCCTCCAGACGCTGTCACCTGGCCAAGAGCTGGTGAAGTGTCCTCTGCGACCAGGCACTGTTTCCTGGGGATAGGAGACTGTTAGTACTGCCCAAGCAGGGCAGGAGGGGGGGGTGCTCCCAAGAGCTTGCCCCACGGTTTTCTAATGTGTAAATTAGGGGGGAAAATAAGTGAAAATTAGCAGCCCAGCTCCCCCGTACCTAGCTATCCTCCCTAAAGGTTAGTATCAAGTTTGTCACTCCTTCTTCGTGAGCACCCTGACACAGACTTGACACTTACTCTCCATTAAACCCATTAACATGCAGAATCCTCATCTGCTTCACGATGGTGCTTTTCCCAGACTCTCCAGCACCTAGAGGACGAGAGTAAGGCTCAGGTTAAGAAAGAGGCGCCTCCCAGGCTTTGGCAGGGAGAGAGCTGCTGTCCGTGGCTTCTTTTTTTTTTTTTTCTTCCATAGAAGCAACATACAACAAACACAAGACAGACTTGCAATTTCGACGCAGAGAAAACAAATGAAACATTTCCAACTCAGTGTCTACCTGTAGTATTTCACCATCAGAATAACAAACAAGAATTAAAGAGGTTCTGCGTTTTTTTGTTTTAAAGGCATTTCTTTTCCTCTTTTGGGTGCCATGGTCAATTTTGTGGGGTGTTGGAGATAGGGGTAAAGAGAAGATATGACGCAATTTTGTCATTTGAGGGGGAGAACTGATTAAAACTGAGAAGTGGAGCCTTGAAATGTGAGCATTCACTCATAAAACCTACACACCAACGTACAGAGCCACATATAATTCACTGTTTGTCAGATGTTCTGTGGTTAAAATACCCAGGATTCGCAAACAATGCCCAGACACTGCAGTTTCCCCCCCCCGCCCCCCCCCCCCCCCCTGCGCGTAGCCATGCAGGCCTGCTCCCCAAACATTCGCACAATGCAGCAGCCGCCCCGCGGGTCCCCCCACCCCTGGGCTACTTAAAATCCACCCCTATGTGCTCAATATTACATTCTAGCTACTTATTCACCCTCCTGCCCCAGCAAACTGTACATTTCTAAAGATAAACTGTCTCAGGATACAACAACCATGTGGCAGAGGAAAATGGAAGACCATCAATTATCTGTCACCTCAAAAAAACAACACAATTTAATATCAATAGAGCACTTGAGACCAGATTAGCATTAGATAAAAGCTGTAACAACAGTAAGGCAGAAGAAAAGACTTTATAATTAAGATAAATATTCCTGGAAACCATCGAATTTAAAAGATTCTAAGCCCCTCCAAACTAAAAGAGTAGGAAGAAACATAAGCCTCCATTTTAATTCACCTTTCATTTGATAATTAGTAAATAATAATAACATTTTATGGGAAAAAAACATTTCCAGCAAGCTAGAGGGAGGATTGCTACTATTTTGCATTTTGGGGGGGTAAATGTACTGTACCACAAATATTGCCTATGTGAATAATTTTTCCTTGCCCTCCTCCCACACACAAGCAGTATGGATTTACTCCCTCTTTTCCCCTAAACTTGGAATTGTATTAATTGTTGTTTCAATGCCCAAATAGCAAAGCATTCCTCCTCTTCCTGCCTTTTCACAAGCCTGTAATCAATATCTGTGAAAGTTAAAGTTAGTTTGCATAGAAACATTGATTTCAAAGCAAACATTCTATCTTAATGAGTGTAACTCTTGCAAATTAAAATACAGAAGGCACGATTGGAAATTCCACAAAAAGAATGTGGAATATTGATCAGGATCTTCAATGTTCTGCATGCAGAAGTATTAAAATGTGCCACACCTGTGTTTTACAGACACAAATAGATCTGTGCCTCAGTTTCCACACTTATGAAATTAGACAACTAGGCTGAAAACTAAGATTAAAATTTTTTTTTGGTAGTTTGGTAATTCAGTTAATTTTCCTGTCATTAAATTAAGATGGGGGAGGAGGACTTGGGGCATAAAGATGTTTCCATTGGGGAGGGGGGATTATTATTCGGTGAGATCAACCATTAGGAATACAAAATGTTGCCACTGGCTTGGGCTGCTGATTCTTGTGCCAGAGGCTATTAATAAATTGTGACAAAATGCAGCCATAGAGGCTAGGGTACCTTAGAATGATGAGACCCCCCCAGCTAGGTTCAGTGTGTTTTGAGTAGAGGTCCCAAATTAAGTGGAGACACAAAAGGTGTTGGTAACTTAAAGGTGTCATTAGCATCACACCTGACTTAAATTAGAATTCATAAAGCAAGTTAACATTCCCAGGGAAGGTTCTAGACTTCTCCAGGTTGCACTTTGAAATCAAATCATATGCACATTGATATTCACATAGCATAATTCTACTTTAACAGTTTTAGACAAGGATCTCCATATATATACCATTTAATTAGTGGGATTGCAAATGCATAAACACCAAAGAGACTTATTTTCTCTTAATTATTAATTTCCTGCATTCATAAATCTGGACCCAGGAGAACAAAGACTTGACCCATCCACAAACACCAAGCCAAGCACCACCAGAAGGAAAAAACAAGCCTTTCACATTTTTTTCTTGATAATTAAGCTATTTGGTTGAAATGTGACCACAAACTAGGACTTAGCCTAGCAAATTCACGAATTTATTCAGATAGCCAATTACCAAGGAAGTGGAAAACTTCCATTCTAATTAGTGTTTGTGTCATTCTTTTGGTAATTTTGACAAGTCTTTATGCTTTTGTTTTTTCCCAAAGCAGCACCTAAAGAAAAAAGGGGTAAAGGCCATCTCCTCACAGTTAAGGGCCCCCTCCCCCCTTTTTTTTGGCCAAAGAGGAGAAACAGCAGTGGAAAAAAAGAGAAGAAAAACCAAACAACCAAATGTCACTTGACCAACAGCTAATTAATGTCTTTTCCTGGCCCCCCACCTGGGAAGTCTTCCTTCGGGCTCTGGCCGCCCTCCCACCTTGGAAAGGACAAGATTTCTAAAACGCCATTTCCAGACCCAGAAGCCATTTACAGACAAATGTCATTTTCCAGATCTGATTTGTGAATGTCTTTTTTTTTTCTTTTTTCGCCAGGCACTCTCCGTGTGGCACACTAACAGGAAGATGTGTGTGTGTGAATGGTGTGTGGCACGGGTGCGCGCGCGCGCGCTCCCGCGCGGGCGGGGGTCAGCGGCTACAATTAATGCTCTCCTTTGCTTTTCAAAAAGCCTGCAGGTCTAGAAGGGGAAAAAAGGTCACACGGTGAAATGACGTGTCACTGCCCCCCCCCCCAGGCCCTCTGCGTGCGGGCTTTCCTTTTCGTTTTGTTGGACTGATTTTATTTGATTCTCCTTCTCTTCCTTCCACGGCCAGGCCTGGCCCAGGACACGTCTGCTCCGCACACAGCC